GCCAACTGCCTGTGGCCCCTCCTCCAGGCAGGTCCTGTCCCTGTTGGGTCCCCACCACCCCAGTCAGCCCATGGCCCCTCCCTATGGCCAGCCCAGACCCCAATCATCCCCCCCCACCCCAATTGGGGGTGGGGCCCACTGTCCAATAATCTACAGACCCTCACCCCAACCAGCCTGGCCCTGATTAGGCCCCGATGAGGGTGGGTCAGCCAGCCAACCTTGGTTACCTCTTCCTCCCAACAGGCCCGACCCCAATCCACCCTGATTGGGGCCAGGCCAGCTGGACCCAACCCGTGCATGAATTTGTGCACTGGGCCTCTAGAGTGTGTGTGTGTGTGTGTGTGTGTGTGTGTGTGTGTGTGTGTGTGTGTATTATGCAAATTGTCCCCTTGGGAATTTAATCAAGAGACAAGGAGTTCAATCGCTCACTATGATGTGTGCTGACCACCAGAGGGAGATACAGAAAGAACAAAGGTCCCGGCCAGCAGCCAGCAGCCACAGAAAGTAGGCCCTGGCTGGAAGTTGGAAGGAAGGCCCCGATTGGCTCTGATTGGCAGCCTGGCCAAGGAACCTACCTGTGCTTGATTTTGTGTCGTGCACCAGGCCTCTAGTAAAAATATACTGTCAAGAGTTTTTCTTCTGAGTCAACATGAGTACAAGCACCCAGTACTCAGGAGCCTGAATTAGAAACCCATGCCATGATTACCTCGGTAGAATAAAATGTTCAGTACAAGAATAACTTATTTTAAAACAAACTCTAGCTGAAGATATCAGAAGCCAAGTCATTTGTTCCACCTTCCGGGAAATACTTTGCCTGTTGTTTTTGTTTTTTTCATATGAACTGCTGATATAAAAATGATACTGTTAACCAAATGGAAATCTATCCTCATCAGCATCTGAAATAGGTGGACGTTGGTTTGCTTTTCTTTGATTAATGCAGGCTGGGTTGAGGCAACCCCCGCCCCCTTGCACAAATTTCGTGCACTGGGCCACTAATCTAAATAATAAAAAGCTAATATGCAAATGGCCATGATGCCTTCATGTGCAATGACTGATCAGCAAGAGGCTGTGTGTGAAGCAGGTGTGGGTGGGTGGGGACTTGCAGCTTCAGGAACTTGTGTGAAGCTCGCATCCCTGCCCCTGATGCTGGGCCCAGGGACATGAGGCTCACAGAGGCTTGTGTCCCCACCCCTGTGCTGGCCCTAGGGACGTGAGTTCTGCATCCCTGCCCCCGGGGCCAGGCCCAGGGACATGAGGCTCGCAGAGACCTACATCTTTGGGGTGATGGATTGTGGAGCTTCCGCACTGTAGCAAGGCACAGGCCAGGATGGGGGACATCCCCTTCCCCCTGACAGCATGAATTTTGTGTACCAGACCCCTAGTTCAAAATAAAAAGCTGCTTTGAAATTACAGAAATCCCAAGGTCACAATATGGAATTCTAAAAGCCACTGTTACTGATACTTAAGATTTTTGCTCCTCATTAAAGAAAACCCAAGAAGGCTGACTTTTACAATGTAGAAAGTCTTTTAAAAGATATCCAACAAAGAATGGATATATGAATATTGGTATAAGTTCGTGTGTGTGTTTTACACACACACACACACACACACACACACACACACACACACACTCATACACAGTGTCCCAAAATGTATACACACACTTTGAATGATTATAAAGGCAGTGCTTATTAAAATATATTTCATTTCCAAAATTGAGTTATCAGCTGCTAAAGTGTGTATACATTTTTGGGGGAGACCCAGCATATAAACTTTCAAAAGCTTGTGGCTGGCATTAAAATTAAGAAAATTCCCTCAATGCCCCCAGTATGTTCTAACTGGAAGTGATCTTTGGGGTTATCTAGTACAATCCCCTAATTTTATGTATGGAATATGAAGTTCAGAGAACATGAGAAATTTGACCCAAGCTCACTCACCTAATTAGCAACACCAATAGCACTAATCCTTGGATTCCTGCTTTCCAATTTAACCTTTTTTTATAGAATCACATTGGGTGCTGTAACTACATGTCAGTTCACCCAAGCAATTAGATAAGAACCAGAAGGCTGATAAATCTATGATATATTAAAATTTATTTATTGTCTAATAAATTGTAGCAAAAAAGAAGGAAGTGGCAGGACAAACCAGCTATGATTTTAACTGATTGACATTCTTTTCCACCTCCAAAAAAATTCAAAATTCACTCCAGAGTTCCTTGAGGAAAAAAATAGGGTGTAGATTTAAACCCCAATAACTAACCATGTGGCCAATTAGCAAATAAGTGTGTGCGCTCACTGCCATGTCCTTCAGACTCCAATCTGGAGTGCAATTAGCATGACAGGAAATAACCTGGAGATATGAATGTCTAAAATCCCAAGTGCTGAGCAGGAAGGCACGTCCCTTAGCCTCAGTGCAATAGCCTAACAGGCTGTAATGGATCAGATCCAGTTAACGAGAAGGAGCTAGGAAGCTGCCCCACCACCAGGCAGTTAGAGAAAGGGGATTCAGGATAAAAGGAAATGGCAGTCAACGCAACAGTCATCTTTGTTGTGACTATTGGAAAATAAGACAGACAAAATACACAAAGCAGCTCCTCCCAAAAGCAAAATAAAACCAAACGACTTACGTTTTCACTATAACCAAACATCACACCAAATATAGTCAATTACAGATGACCTAAAATTCTGAGAGGACCCGTTTAGAAGAGTTCTGACCACATGAGCTCAGCTTTTGAGAGAGAGATTCTTTTAAGGAGATTTCAATAGAGATTTTTCTCGAGCTTTTTAAATGTCATCTCCTATAAATAATTAATTCACTAAAGTTCATCTCAGATAGTCTGTTTGGTTCCCGTTAATCAATCAACAATGATGCATGATGAGCCCAGGGTTTGCCTCAGAAAGGCTGGGGGTGGTGCTCACAGGTGGAGCATCAGCTAATTTTTAAATATTTAAAATTTCTTATGTTTCCTCCTAATTTATCTGCAAACAGCATTAGTTAATGAACGGGCAAGGACAACTGTGCAAGGACAAACCACACACAGGTCGCGGTGTACCCCTCTCTCTAGCACACAGCAGAGGGTGTGCAATTCGTTTTCAAAGTCCTTCCTGGGTCCTCCTTGCAGTAATCTCTAAATTAGCAGCCTTTTCCAAAAATGTTTAATGAAAGGTAAGGCATAAGCCTAAAACAATCAAAACTTTAAAGAGTATACAGGAGCCAAACTGTGCTTCCTCCACTACATGTTATCACCTGCATGGGCATGGGAGCCTGATATAGTGTTTTAAAATGGGATTCTGAGTTTATGCCCCACTGGAACATCCCGCCTTTGTGAACTTGAAGAATTATGTCACGTCTACCCCTCAATGTATTGCCCTGTAGAGTTAATAAGAGTATATTGCCAGGCTGGTGTGGCTCAGTAGTTGAGCATCAATCTATGAACCAGGAGGTCACAGTTCGAAACTTGGTCAGGACACAGGCCCAGCTTGATCCCCACTTGTGGGGTGTGTAAGAGGCAGCTAATCAATGGTTCTCTCTTATCATGATGTTCCTATCTCTCTCTCCCTTCCTCTCTGAAATCAATAAAAATGTATCTTAAAAAAATAGTATCTTCCTCGTAAGCTTGTTTGTTTGTTTTGTTTTTTAATATATTTTATTGCTCTTTTATAGAGAGGAAGGGAGAGAGATAGAGAGTAGAAACATTGATGAGAGAGAACCATCGACCAGCTGCCTCCTGCATGCCCCCTACTGGGGATGTGCACGCCACCAAGGTACATGCCCTTGACTGGAATAGAATCTGGGACCTTTCAGTCCACAGGCCGAAGCTCTACCCACTGAGCCAAACCAGTTTCGGCCCTAAGCTTGAATATTTAATGTGTGATGTTTTGAATATTTAATGTGTGATGCTTGAGAAGGGTTGACTCTGTATTTGGTAAATAACAAATATTTAATAAGTATTAACTATTACTATTATTAAAATAATGGTACAGTTATAACTATTCTGAAACCTGAAATCCTTTGTAAAGCATACAATTAAAGTTAATAAACAAGAACTTGGTGCTTATTAAATAAATTCTTGCTAAACTTATAAATTATTAGTGTCAATTATATTCACACAAAAGCCTTATTTTGCTGCCTTCTCTATAATTAATACATGCAAAACTTCTTTTCACTCGGTATTGCCTGATAGGAACCAGGGACAAGAGAAAAAGGTCATTTTGTTTTTTAGTTGGACACTAAAGCCAGGTTTTAGAGCTTCAATGGACATTCATGTTGCCATTTTTTTCCTCTCTCAATAGAGTTCACCAAATCTATCGAATTACAGCCATGCTGAAACTCTGAACAACTACTTCGATGTAAGATTTATATCTTTAATTTCTTTTTCATGTAGCAACAGCAAAGCACGTACATCTGATCATCCTTGACTCCGAGACTCAGATCATCACACAATTTCCAATTAAAAATGTTTACGGGAGTGCACTTCATCAACCAAGCTGCCTTGCTATTCCAACCAAAATATAGTGAAGCTTATGAGGCCATCTGCAATAATAAACTTTAAAATGCTTTATAGATAGTAACTAAATAACATCTTTATGAGAACAAGTATCGGGATTGATCAAATTTGTTCTTAATAACAACAGGATAAATATTTAAGAAACATTTGCTGGGTGCCAGGCATTCTTTCTTCTAGCCCTTTGAGGGAAGTGCCATTATTATCCCCATTTCAAAAATGAGGAAACAGGCACAATAAAGTAACAGGCAGTCAGTCTGACACCAGAGTCCCAAGTTCTTACCCATTAATGTACACATGGATGTTGTGGCTTTCATGAATATTACGTTCATCACATATAGCATGCCCATATTATAGTAAAAGGATCCAAGCATTAAGCCAAAACCTCTGCTTGGTCATTTTTTTTTTTTTTAACTTTGATGACAATGAAAGAAAGAAAAAGCACACTTTGTAAATTAGAAGAGAGTACATAAACAAACTAGCTCATCATTCCTACCTCAAGTCTGTCTGTCCGCATTAATTTCTGTGCAGCAGCTGCAGCAGCTGCAGGGACAGGGACCCCAGGGTTCCCTGTAACCAACATTGGTGCAGTCGGCAAGATCTCTGCTGGAACCAGGCTTGGGGAGACAGGTCCCAGGTAGGGATTAAAGGCTGCTGATGCATTGGTGGCTAAGCTGGGTGCAACTGAAAACATTGGCTGAAAAATAAAGTAAGAAGAAACATTTAATATGAAGGTCTTAGTTGCAAGTTTATATCCTACATTATATATGTTTGCATCCATCCATCCATCCATCCATCCCCCCAACCTCCATCCATCCATCCATCCATCCATCCATCCATCCATCCATCTATCCCCAATATATTCTTCCCTTTCTTCCTCCCTTTCTGTCCCTCCATTTACTTCTGTGTTTATTTACTCTTATTCAGGATAAGGATGATTCTTAAATAAACATTGATTAAATCAAAGTTTTTCTAAAATACAAGAGGTAACCTGCTGCTACATTTTCCCACTGGAATCTTAAAGCCTGGAGTCTCTCATACTTGCAATTTCTTTATGAACAACAGATCAAGAACTCAATAGGGAAACTTCCTGTGGTTATCTACTTTCCATCTTTGTCCTGATTGAACCCTAGACGCATATCTAAGAAATATATTTCATGATTACTATGTCAGATGTGTCTTGAAGGATCTGTTTACAATGGTTAACAGGTTGCAAGTGTCCTATTATCTGGAATAAATAAAGCGGAACTCTCAGTAGACAGCATAGTTTCACAGTCAATGTAAACTGTGAATAAACCTCATGTGGGCACAGAAAGGTGAGGAGGACTCCATTCCTTGTGGGCACACAAGATAGAGTGTTTGGCAAATTCACTAGTTGTAGGTTTTTCTGGGGGGATTATAAACTTCACCAGTCTATCATGCTCTTGTGAGATATTTAACAGGGAATTCGCCTTCCTGGGGGAGAACCACTGGAAAATGGGAAATCTGCAAACAAGAACACTTCTAACTAAATGCTAGGTGATTCTTCAAGGGAACGCCAATGGCAACACTAAGGACAATGTGACAAGATTGACTTTCTGCCAGAAATGCTTTCATGGATACATGAGAATGGTTTCTATTGGTTGGTATAAAAATGTGCATATCAGGAAATATAGCTGTTCTTGATAGAATTAAGCAATTTACCTGAAATCGACTCGAGCAATTTTCTTTTCCAATTTTAAAAGCATAACCTAGCACAACAATTTCCCATGTGATTGATGATACATTTTCAACTTCCTAATTCAATGGAGTTTCCACTCTTAAAGTTTAACGCTTTGTGTTACAGTAATGTTTGTTTCCAAAACACAAAAAACGGAAAGACAAAATGGAGCCTATTCTTTTTTTTAAAATATATTTTATTAATTTTTCAGAGAGGAAGGGAGAGAGATAGAGAGCTAGAAACGTCGATGAGAGAGAAACATAGACCAGCTGCCTCTTGTACACCCCCTACTGGGGATGTGCCTGCAACCCAGATACATGCCCTTGACCGGAATCTAACCTGGGACCTTCCAGTCCGCAGACCGATGCTCTATCACTGAGCCAAACCGGTTTCGGCGGAGCCTATTCTTGAAGGTAATTTTTAACAGTTCACTTCCTTTTACCCTGTGATATGGAATAGATTCAGAGAATTTTTTTTTTTTTTTTTTTTTTTTGTAGAATAAAAGGACATAACACTGTCGCTATTCTTCCCTCTGAAAGATGACCCTGAGTTTATATAGTGTTCAAGAGAAATTTGGAACAGATTTTTAATGCAATTAAGATGCATGTTACAAACGTAATTCTTATAGTTCAAAAGAGAAACATGTTAAAAAATACAACATTCATCTAGTCTGGCCCTGTCTCATCCTTTCTTTGTAAGGGAGCCCAAGTTTTCCCTTGTTCCTAGGACAGTTCTCAACTCTGGGTGATTTTGCCTCTCAGGGGACATCTGGCAATGTCTAAAGAATTATTTCTAGTCGCCACAGCTGGAGGGTGCTATGGCATCTAATGGGTAGAGTCCATTAACACAGGGGCAGCCCCTTCCAACAAAGATTTCTCCCGTCCCCAAATGTCAGCAGTGCTGAGGTTGAAAATCCCTGTCCTCAAGATGTGCTCTTCTCTTGACCTCACACATTGCTTTAAGACAAAATCTTCTGTGCATGCAGGTACTGCGTGCAATCTTAGTGAGAAAACAATGAAAAGTAGAATATTTAGCCGAAACTAGTTTGGTTCAGTGGATAGAGCATTGGCCTGCGGACTGAAAGGTCCCAGGTTCGATTCCGGTCAAGGGTATGTACCTTGATTGCGGGTACATCCCTAGTGGGGGGTGTGCAAGAGGCAGCTGATGGATGATTCTCTCTCATCGATGTTTCTAACTCTCTCTCTCTCTTCCTCTCTGTAAAAAATCAATAAAAAATATATATTTTTTTAAAGTAAAATACTTAATACATAATGTGATTCCCTTGGCAGGAGAAACGATGCACCATGGATTCTTCTGAGATGTTCCAGTTAGAATGATGATGCCTCCAAATGTGCTGGCTTAAATGCCATGGTTAGCTGCCCTGCCAGATCGATGGCTCTTGCCTGAGGAAGTGGCCTAGAGTGATACCTCCCATCCGCAGAGCCATCCCTGCCCAAAGCAGTTACGTTGCGTGCTGACAACAGGAAACAATCCGGCATTCCAGATATTAACAATCCATAACCTGCCAAGAAACTGGGGCCCAGGGCAATCTCTGCCCACCAACGGATATTGAACAGCAGCTGATTTTATGCTGCTCCACTGTCTACTGGCTGCCGAGGCAGCAGCAGGGCAAGGGTTGACTTGCCCAGTGAATACATGTTGAACTTGGATTTCTACTCTGAGATAGTCAGGTACACTGCTACATACTCGCAGATACAGTATGTCAAATTTCAGCCACTCCAGCCACCTATTTTTCCTATTAGATATTTAATAGTTATTTTAAAAATTAGCACTGAAGACTAAAGACTAGTTTAGAATGGGGAGAACAGAGGCCAGGTAATAGCACTCCTCTTTGTATTCTGATGCTACGAATGAACATGTATTTCTAGACAGTGCAGTTTTTAATGCAGGCTTCAGGAAGATATTGAGATGCTCATGTGATGGTACACAAGCTACTATAATTACTTAGAAGCAGAGGTCAAATCTGAAAACTCATTTGGAGGGAAGAAAAGCATTCATATTTTAAGAAAACAAGACCAGTGACCAATAAATTCAGCATTCTTAAAGCTCATTGAATAAAATAGACATAAAATCCACAATGCCTAGAATACAGAAGTTGCATATTAAAGGGAAAGGAATGCTTTTATTCCATAAAAGTATGGCAACAACTTTCCCACTGGACTGTATCTATAGAGTTGTCATGTGAATTGATTTCTGCATTTTAATCCAGCCGAACAAATTCAAATCTGGCGAATTTTAGGATACTCTCCCCAAGTAAAATCTGCAGCAGCTTTTAAAAACCTAAACCATCAACTCTTCAACAAGCATTATCTCAAATTGCTCCCTCTCCAGATAAGTGGTGCTATTTGCTAAACAGTCAGGCAATCAATAATAATAGCTCTACGCTTTGAAATCGGATTCCAAAAGCTGCTTTAAAAACAAAAAAAAAAGTACAACATTCCTTCATTTCTTTTGTAAATCTGTTACATCCTTTTTCAAAGAGCACCTTGCTGGAGGTAGGTCACTGCTGGACCCACCAGTGCCCTAATCTGATTAGTAAATAACTTGTACTATTACAAGGCTAATTCTCCATCCAAAACTTGCTCTGACAGGGTTCAGCAGAATCGCAAGGATGGATATTAACACAATGGTAGTATTGGACAGCATAATATTTTCTTTGAAGTACGCACAGGATAATGTATAACTACGTAATTGGTACATTTGATACTAACTGCATGATCTACAAATTCCTTGCTTCTGGGAAAGCATCAGGAAGGCTGGATTATTATTGTCTTTTGTCTGTAAACACCCCGAACAGAGAGAAACTAATGGCAGGCTTACTAATGCTTGGATGGGCTAATCATCTGTTTGTTTTAAAAGAGCCACTCTGATTCCATTAAGGTACTCGGGCTCTATTATGAATTTGTTCATTTTGTGTGGATCCTGCAGTTGGCCTCTCTACTCAGGTCCCCCATAGACATTCACTTAACTAGTATAGCAACAGATGTGCTGTTTTTCTCTGTCCAAGAAATTAGTAAATGCATTAAATATTTTCTAGAAATAGAGATGTAAACATTAAAAAAGGTTTCGTGTCATCCATTTCTCTATGTGCTTCTTAGAAAAGTTTCATTTCTTTTCTTTTGGTTTTGCAATTTTTAATACTAAATTTTTCTAAGTTGTCATTTTGCCATGCTGCAATGCTGCAAATATCAGAGGAGCCCTAATTTATTTTTAAAATGCTATGTGAGACAGTGTTTGTTTTGCAGACAATGTTGGCAAGTTTTAATAAAATGGAGAGAGTACATACAATAGATAATACGTAATTGGTATATGCTGGCATTTATAGAACACAAGTTTTAAGTCAGATCTGTCTAGATGTTACGTGTGTGTATGTATCTGTGAAGGTCAAACTTGCAAGCAGTAAACCATAAAGTGTTTTTTTTTTTTTTTTTAATCAACTGTATAATCGAGGTGCATGAAACCAGATTCTTGTACAACCCTGTATAAAATCTGTAAACAGCCTTTGTGAAAGATTATTTTGAATATGAATGTAGAGCCAAAAGCTGATGGGAGTTATCAACCAATATCACCTTACAATGCCTTTTTTCCAAGAAGGTAGCATATAACTACGATCAGAGCAATCCTATTTTAAAATCTGTCTCTAGACTGACTTGCTGACTGGGCAAATCAAATGACCACCTGCTTTATCCTTAATTTCACTTTCTCTTTCAATCCAATTTTTTCTCAACATTTAAATGGATAAGACTCACTTATAGCTCTCCAAGGAAAAAGAAACATAGCAACAAATATGCCGGTCCCTGAGATTTGGGGCCCATTTTCAAGCTGCTTAAAGAAGTGCAGGCTACTTGATCGAAAAGGGCAGATGCCCTAGCCAGGTGGCACAGTTGATGGGAGCATCATCCCATATACCAAAAAGGTTGTGGGTTTGACTCCTGGTCAGCACACATATCAAGGTTTCGGGTTGTATCCTTGGTCTGGGCAGGTTCAGGAAGCAACCAAGGGATGTTTAGCTCTCATATCGGTATTTATCTCTCTCTCTATCTCTCTCTTTCTACAAACAAACAATAAAAACATGTCCTCATGTGATGATTTTATTTGTTTTTAAAGGGCAGCAGAAACCGGTTTGGCTCAGTGGATAGAGCTTCGGTCTGCAGACTGAAGGGTCCCAGGTTCGATTTCAGTCAAGGGCATGTACATTGGTTGCGGGCACATCCCCGGTGGGGGGTGTGCAGGAGGCAGCTGGTTGATGTTTCTCTCTCATTGATGTTTTTAGTTCTCTATCCCTCTCCCTTCCTCTCTGTGGAAAATCAATAAAATATATTAAAAAAAATAAAAAAAAAATAAAAAAAGAAGGGCAGATGGATGAAAGGGTGATTCAGAGCGACTGAGTGGTAAACATTTTACCAGAAATACTTGGAGATGAAGAGGACTTATCTCAAACACCAGTGGGATAAACTGGAAAAGGAAGTTGTAGAATACAATGGAAGAATCCCAGGTGTTGCTGGAAGTGTGACAAACGATGATGACATCAAAGCTTTCGGTATCAAACTGACAACAACTGCTTCGAACTAAGGCGAGAGCAGAGACGAGATGACAGAAGCAGCAGAGAAGCTCCTGAGACATGAGCTCCAGGCAGGAACTCTGCAGTCCTCTGTCACTACCCTGCTTGCCATGCATGACATTCACGGGATTTCCAAGTGAGTCAGGGACCTCAACAGGCCAAGGAGTGTGTGCCTTCGGGACAGCTGTTATGGGACGGTATGGATGGCCAAGCCTAATCTGGGGAGCACTGCCAGCTTTCAGGGGCAGTGATGAGAGCCTGAACACCATCTTTCAGGAACAAACCAAAGAACTATAATCAGAGGCCTCCCAGTTGGAAACCATTAGGTGTTATCTACCTTCCCTTAGGTTGTTTAGTCACTTCTCATTAGATTGCCTTTGCATCAGATGGCAAAGTAAAAAAAAAAAAAAAAAAAAAAAAAATTGAATTAAAAAAATTAAAGTGGCACTTAGGAAATAAATCCAAATTTGGGTAATTAGATACTTATAGGCCTTCCATTTATCTTCCAGTTACAGAGCTCGTCGGCAGCAGGGCCAGTCACATTAATTAATCTCTCTGAGGCTTCATCTGCAAATCTGGGCTAATACTACCTACTTAATAGGATGGTGGCGAGGATGTAGGACACCAAAAGACTGAGTTCAGTGACTGCAGGCACAGTATTGCATTTGCCCCCAAAATGTCAAGTCCTCTTTCTGATTCTTGGCTGGGTGCCTCTCTCTACAATTTAGTAAAGTCCATAAAAACAAGAGACTCTCCTATAAATCCCTGCACTTCCCAAGTCAGCTCAATGTCAGGTCTCAAAGACGTTACATTTATACACAAGGTCTCTCAAGATTTACAAGAAAAGGAGAACCCAAAGGGAGTGACATACAGCCATTTCCTGGTCCCCCAAAGGGCACTTGTGCAGCCCCTGGCTGCCTCTTAAAGAGTCTGCTACAAAGTCGCCTCCTCCAGCCTCCATTCGGTGCGGCAGAGACTGGGCTGGGGCACTGGGGCCTGGTTGCAATTCCTCTGGACGCCGGGGAAGGTCAACCCCCATGAACCTCTGCCTCAATTTCTTGTGTTTGGAAAGCTCCTTCCTTCCCTCACTCACTCTTTCACTTACCCAAGCAATGGTTTGATCTCTGGGACATGCCAGGCACAACACTAGGTACTTCTGAATCTGATTGGACCTTGCTAAGCCTTTGCCCAATCTGTGCTCCTCCAGCTACAGGGTGGGGGCCAAACTGGTTGTCCTCAGATTAGAAAACTAAAAGGCTGCCAAAACCGGTTTGGCTCAGTGGATAGAGCCTCAGCCTGCAGACTGAAAGGTCCCAGGTTTGATACTGGTCAACGGCATGTATCTTGGTTGAGGGTATGCCCTCTCTCATCGATGTTTCTAACTCTCTATCCCTCTCTCTTCCTCTCTGTAAAAAAAAAAAAAAAATCAATAAAATATATTTAAAGAAAACTAAGAGGCTTCCCCTATGGGACTGCAAGCCCCGGCACTCATCAGACTCTGCTGATGCTCTTGATGGAGTTGACCTGCTCGCAGCATTAGCTCCTTGGAGATCCCATCACTTGGGCTGAATCCAAGTTTAAGCCATCCCTCAAACACTCTCGATTGGCCAGCCTCTTGGAACTGTTAGTCTGTATTTGCCACCTGCTGCTTCCAGCCAGTTAGTTTCCCTTCTTGTGGGCCCATCACTGAAGTTCTAAGTAGGCAGCTGGTTAGGACCATCTGACTTATTTCTGAATCTCACTTATTATCTTCATTAAGACAGAGCTGGCTACAGGGATCACAAAGTCTCTGGTGAGATTCTGAAGCAAATTTCCCAGATTAAAGCCTTCTCTGTAGCCATTAAAAGCCATTCCTATTAGCAAATGCTTTAAAATTGAATAGTTAAGATGACTGCTGTGCTCATTACAAAAACGTCACTCTGAATAGAGTCTATTACTTCTACACTGATCTCACAATGCCTCTAGCAAAAGGGTTTTCCACTTTCAAATCCAGGAACCAGGAAAAATTAACATAAAGCCTGGATGTGCTCACATTTGGGGAGGATGGGTAAGAAGAGGGCATAGAGGGGATGAATGGTGATGGAAAAATAACAAATGAAAATAAAAGTATTTTAAAAAAGAAAAGAAAATTAATGCTTCGTCTAAGCTGAGAATTTCCCAGAAAAAAAAAAAAAATACAGAAAATGTGGTGATTTTTCTAACGGTTCCAGAAACCTGTGTGTTGGTGATTTCCTAAACGATGCATATCTGTTACTAGTATTTCAAATCCCTGGGCATAAATGCTGCTTATAGTTTGTGCCAGGATTACGATGTGATGACTCTGGACACAACCTTGAGAGTATAACTCAAGGACGAGCTCAGTAGAGGAACCGCCAGGACCGATGCTGTTCTTTGCAGTCTGGGAACCTCACTGCCGCTCTCAGAGGCGCGCTCGGTCACTGAGCAGATAGATATGTTTTAAATGTTTCAGTGGAACAAAGTGCCTCCCATCAAGGAGAGATCTTATATCAAGGAAAGTAGTAGCCACCACAAGGAGCTATCGGACCTTTGAAGCTACCTGTGTGAGGGCTAAGTATAGCAGAGAAGTCTCATCCAATATTGTATGCTAGAGAGGAAAAATACTGTTTTTAAACCAAATGAATGAGTTTATGCTATCCCAAAACAAACATGTGAAATTAGCAGATACCACAAAAGCAAATTTAAGCAATCATATTTTAAACTGAGCCCCCAAATAATGAAAATATAGGTTAAAACAGACACAGAATTACAATATTATCTCACCTCAACTGTATAGAATTGATAATTGGTATCACTGCCGGTGTGATATGGAGATCCCTCCCACCTCGAAATGCAATCCCCCCCTCTTTTTTGGAATGATTGGTGCATTAAGTTCTAAGAGAGAATGACAATTACATTGAGTTCAGATGTTAAAAGGTAGGAGGAGAAAAATTAGTTAGCACACTGCTACAGTTAGCATATCAGAAAAACGTGGGTCTTCACATTCCCATGACCCCAGAATACTACATATAAGTTAGTGACATAAATTACTGACAGATATAATCTTATCATGGCAAATTTCAACATACATTTAAACACAGAATTACCATATCACCATGAATATCTGAACACCTTTCGCAACCCATCATTATGACATTACTTTCTTACATTTCTATGAACAAGTGTGAGTAAAGGTTATTGAAATCATTTACCATATACACCCTCCAAAAATACAAATAAGTAACTAAATAAATATATGTGCTCAGACTGAAGTGTTATCCCCATACGTTGCTCAGTAAACATTAAATCCCCATGACCACCTACAGTTTCTAATATTTACGTCTTTTCTTAAAAATCTTGGGAGTTTCTGCCTCTCCTGATAATTTCTACTTTTATGAGACTTCCAAGTCCATATTGATTCACCACTGTCAGAATTCTTTCAGCATGGAACCACAAAATAATTTCAATGTATGTTTAGAAGAATAACAAAGGCTTCCTTTTTAAGAAAGAGAACTAGCCATGACCAGTGTTTCTCAGTGATTAGAGCATCTCCCTGAGCACCAAAGGGTCACAGGTTTGATTATAGGTCCAAGGGCAGATAGATACTTGGGTTGCAGGTTCATTCTCTGCCCAGTTCTCCCTCACTCCCTAACCCCCATCTGGGCACTACAGGATGGAACCAGTCCATGTGTCTCTCTCACATAGATGTTTCTCTCTCTTCCTCCCTCTTACTCTCTCTGAAAAGTAATGGGAAAAAATATCTTCAGGTGAAGATTTAGAGAGAGAGAGAGAGAGAAGAGAAGAAAAAAGAGAAAGAGAGAACTATAATATATAGAGTCTCTTCAAGAAGAAAAGAAATTTTTTTTCTTAAAATTAGAGATGACATATGCCAAGTTTTACGATTACCATTAAAGTAGCTGGAAATGCACATTGACTAGACTGAGGAGATTGATGACCCTTTTAAAAACACAAACAAAACATTTTACATTTGAAAGTCACAGAACTTAGTTTGGAGAAAATGTTAGGGGAAAAACATGAGCACTTGGAATCATCAAAACTGAGCACTTGGAGTTACCAACGTAACAAATGAGGACTGAAAACATGCTCACCACGGGTTGTAATGGGGCACCGGGCATCATGGCATTGGCTAGTTGCATTTGCTGGGCCAACATGGCCATGTTCTTCTGCTGAATCAAGTTATTGCGCCCATTTATCTCCAACTGTGTTTTTAAGTGTGGGGGTGGGTGCAGATATTTGCAGTTCTCCCTGGAGCAACGACCCTAAAAAACAGAAGCAGAAACCACCTTAAAGGAAGAGTAAAATAAGCAAATCTTAAAAAATAATAATGCAAACCTATCACTTGAATCTACTATGCACACAGTGTATTGCCCACATCATTTTATAATACATTTGGAATAAGTAATGAATTCACCCAAATGCTTAAAGAATTTTTTTTTAATTTTTAATATTAGCTCTATTTTATCAAGATCCCAGTTTAAAAATCTACACATAGCCAAGATCATATTAAAATATAGAATATCAAATAAAGAATATTAGGCTCCTTTCATAATATCTTCTGGTTAACTTTAATGAACCCCAAAGAATCATGAAGTTTTACTATCTATTTTTACTTGTACTGAGTTCTACGGAAATGAACTGAGAGGACTCAAGGCACACTATATTTTCAGTAAAACACTTTTACAAGTATTTCATAACAAATAAAATTTAAATTACTACTAAGCTTTAAAAGACCATGTACTAAGATATTTAGAGAAAAAGAGAAGAAAATTCTCGTATGTGACCACTGTATACAGAGATTAGTAAGTACAATGAAACCTGGGGTAAAAATACAGCCTTTACCCTTTCTCCAATGCCCAAGCGCCATAAATCAATCAGAAATAAACACATTTGCCCACCAAAAAAATTTACAATGTAAAATGGAGAAACAAAATAAGGTACTATTAAAATAAGAAATGTGAATATACCATCCTTTTGATGAATCTTCCTATCAAAAATATATTTATTAAAGTGTCAAATGCAATGCTGTATGAGGGAGTGTATCCATATTATTTCAATGTATTGCCAAGTCATACTGATAGGAACAGATCTCATCAATTGCTACCTTGATTACTTCTTTTATCAATAATCCTAATTAGGACTGTTTTGAAGGTAAAAGAAAGATTTAATTGAAGGCACCAACCACCTTCTTGAGCTTTATTTGAACTTCCTAAGGAAAATCTATTTCCCATAATTTGACCTTTTACTGTAAATTGACACAAAACGGATGCTTATGTTTGTGATAAAAGCTGTCAATTCTAATTTGAATGATAGATTCCCAGTTTGTTTAGATGGAGGTGTTTAGGAATAAGTTTCTATGCAGAGTGAACATCTTGTTTAGAAGAAGATGTTTAGGAATAAGTTTCTATGCAGAGTGAATATCTTAGGACACTGCCTGTTACTTTAACAAGCTCTGTGTAACGAAGCTTTACAAATCATACTTGGGATCAGGCTGCAGTTGTTGATAACAAGGACCATACAGGTCTGAAGACCTGGGGAAGAGACCTGGCTCTCACTCATCAGCTGTATGAACTGCATTAAAAACAAACAAACAAACAAACAAACAAACAAACAAAAAAACCCCCAAAAAACCCAACCCACTAACTTCCATAAGCCTCAGGCTTTTTATCCATTTCAAAACTGCTACCTAACCTTCACCAGAATTGTGTTATGAAGATTAAAGCAGCTAATGCATAGTCTCATCCTTGACACTCACTGCATGCCCCTATCTGAGCGAGGTAAAGGTCTTAAGCTGCTATTACCATCCCCTCCACCACATTTTAAATTTTATATCAAACAAACTAAAAACAACCTTTTGACATAAAGGTAATTATGATGGTTATTGATATGTTCACACATAAAGTAAGATTTAGATATCTATAACTTGTTCCATATGAAATTATTATGCTTGCTATCTATTGAGGTCATGAGCATGTTATTAGCTTAAAAGCATCTGGATACAAAACACCTTCTACAAAAACAGCACTGAGAGTCACAGGGAATGACTGGCTGACAGAAATAAGCTCAAGGACGATGGACAGTCTGATTTCAGGGTCATCCAGTTGGAATCTCGTAGAGAAATCCTGCCTTTTCCATACAAAGAACAACTGGGCCCTAAGAGCAATTTTGCTTCTATCTCTCCACGTCATCACGCTCACTAAGATTGGACTTTGTGAAGGGCAGACAAGCAGGGGTATATCCACCCTGTGGATTCAGTTACTGTCAATGCACTCAGCTCGGTTTCCATGGTTCCATAAACAGTACACAAGTAGCCCTGAGCTGGGAAGCAGGCCTTGCCAAGGCTCTCAGCAGTCTTAAGACGGACTTCATTTGAGCGCCTCCCTAACACAAACCACCCGGCCTACCTGTGAACACAGCCCAGGCTGAAATGATGAAGGAGTGAAACCCAATTTGTCCACCGTACATCCTGTGATGCGCTTGGCAAAACTCTGAAGCTCAGCCCTTGGGTTTTCTCTCTGTATTTGCTACCTCTGCTCAGGAAAGCTACGCTTGGGTGCCCAGCTTGATCTGACTGCATCTGAGTCGCACTTTCAAAAAGCCATGCTTGGGCAAAGTATACAGACTATAAAGCCTCATCCACAGAGAGCTTGTGGCAGGAGGTCTGGGGGCCCAGGTTATTCTGAGAAAGCATAAAACACGGCAAAACACAACTCTATAAAGCTACATGAATTTTTCATTGACGTGTGTGGAAAAAATAACAGAGAAGCCTCTGCAATTAATATTAGATAAACTTAGCTTCTTAGGAAGTTCAGAACTTGTTTAATGCTGACTGTGCTGCTGAATAATTGCGGCTGGACAAATAAAAAAGTAAAGACTACCTTAGAATAAACATCCTTTTCTACGGGATTGCCGAACACCCGAGGGAAAACCACAAGTAGCATACCTTCCATGGAGAATTTAGGTAAATACGACACTGGTACTTCTCCAGGTTCATTGGTCTCTGTTCCCAGAACCCACACCTCAAGAGTCATTTGCAGAACTAATAAAAGACATGTCTTACAAAATAATTGAAGATGAATTATTCTAACTCTATTCTGGAGACAAAGATAACAGAAAGGGGGCGGGGGGGGGGTGGGAACACTAAATCTAATACCAAACTTTGATTTTGAGTTGCACTCACTGAATGATACATTTACTCAGAGACCTATAATTTGATTGCATAAGAAAGCTTGCCAAAACAAAAGAACCTAAGGTGACAGGTTTGCGAGTTTCACTGAGGAAGAAAAAAGATTTGTATTGAGATCGACATCCTAAAAATCTATCTACACTAATAAAAGAGTAAGATGCAAATTGTATCTTTGCGGTGCCCACCAGCCAATCAGGAGTGAGCATGCAAATTAACCCAACAAAGATGGCGGGTTAATTTGCATATGCAGGTGCCAAGTGGTCAAGGGCAGTGCAGAACACCTGCATCATCACCCTGCTCTGGGCCTCTGGGAAGCATGGGAAGGCAGAAAGGAAGCTTTGAGCCTGAGTGAAGGCCGAAAGGTGGTTCCAGTTAGAGCAAAGGTGGTGCCAGCAACCAGGGGAAGGAAGGCCTATTCTTGCATGAATCTTTGTGCATTGGGCCTCTAGTACAGTGATAATGTTCTGAAAATCTAAGAGCAGAAATTCCATCGGTACCTAGTGCTTACTTATGCAGATCTGTATGGGAAGTAATACACTACATCATCCAGAGACGTGGCCTCAAGACATTAAATTGGCTGTTAGGATTAATGCAAAATATAAATATCAAGAATTTGTTTTGTTTTGTTTTCATTTTGAATCCTACATGCAGTTCCAACGAGTGCCATTTATTTGTACATCTTATCAAATGTAGGTTGGTTCAAATAGCAGCTTTGTAACTTACTTGCTGTGTGACCTGTGGAAGTTACTTAAATTCTCTGAGTGGCAAGACTTTTTCAACAGAATAGTAACACTGCCATTCACCTCACTGGTGATGTCTGAGGACTGAGCAAGATAGTAGGCCAAGCTCATACATGGCTCCTGGTATAACAGGATCTCAATAACTATTATTAGTCTCTCTTTCCCTACATCTCCAGTTAACCACAAGCAGCAGTTGTTTCATTTAGTACCATTATCTGTTAAAAGTGATTACAAAATATATAATAATAATAAAAGTAGACAACACAAGGACAGTGCATGACAACCGTCAGTAATATAATATAAGCTTGGCCCTTCATTATTGTTCTGTGCCTGCCACATAAAGAAAAAAATGCTATTTTAATACGTTTCTTACAGTGTTAGGATTCTGTGGTTTGTTTTTGTTGATTGCACTGGAATGTGCTTTCAGTGAGCTATCTAGCTGACTAGCAGGCCACATTAAAGAGCCTACACCATCAATACCTTAGACTCCATTCAGGGAGGCTTTTTATAGCTTAACTCAACCCAGATTCCGAAGGTATTGTTGTAATACATGAACTATATATTTTAAGGGAATGGAGGAAGTCAATAATATTGATCCCAGCTGAGTCCATTTTTCTCTAATAATTTTTCTGTATCTATAAATTAAAAATAACCTGTCCAAAAAAAAAAAAATCAACATTCCTCCCACCCCGTAGTCTTAAAAGCCTGTATATGATGAATAATGTTCACTTGAGAGATCAATTGATCGAGTCCCCAATTTTTGAAGTTACAGACTGCTCCATTTTGAATTTAAGATTTTTTTTAATTAATATTTGAAATTGGCACAAAGCTTGTGATTATAACAAGGGGAGATGTGTGTTTAGATTAATTGAGCTTAAAAATAAGTGCTTCGTTAATTCTTAAACATTATAGTTTAATAAAGTATATTTTAAATAATTATATCCAAGCTTACATGTAGAGTATATATCTAAAAATTATGTGTATATGATTATATATGTATGTATATATATTTACATAAATTATAGAATAAACATAAAATGGAGTGGAATAAAAGATGGTCACTTAGAGATGTGAAAAAAACATGATATTTTAAATATTTACTTAAGAACTCATTAACAATTAAAAAAAATCTTACTTAGAAGTTGGTGGAACTTAAACCAAACCAAAACAAAACAAAACAAAACAAAACAAAAACAAAAAAAAACTTTAAAATTCTATTTTAAAAATAAAAAAAACCCTAATTTTCCATTTTTAATTATACTTCCTCCATCTAAAATAAAAGAAACATTGTCATGTATGAGGTCAGAATGTGAGAAGATATCTTATTAAGCTGGCA